GTTGGACGTGATGATCTCGGAGGTCTTTTGCCACTGAGCGATTCTGTGATAAGCAATGGAATTGCAGAATAGAAAGTTCCAGATGTTGCAGCATCTGCATCCGAATTAGTCTGAGCATAGCTTTAGAATAACACTTCATTTTTCTTTGCAATCCTAAAATTTTTGCATGATCAAGTCGCACACTGGTTCCCGAGACGATTCCCACGTACTGATCTCTGTGGAACAGCTGTACTATTTATGAGGACATAGAACATAACACAGTCTAATGATACATTTCAACTGTTTAATGCAGCAAGGTGTGCCTTTGCCCTTTCTCTTCCATCCCACTGCAGAAGAGAGAAAGCTAGGACAGAATCTGGCTCAACATCACCATACTCAGGGTAGTTTTGGACCTCTTATTTTGCAGTATAGGAATCGCTATAGAACTGGTGTCACTGAAGATGCTGACCCAGCGTCAAACTTCAACCCCTCAAAAACCCCAAAAGATCTTTCTCTCAAACAATGAAAAATACCATATTCTTCCATGAGGAATTCTGCCCTATGTCCCATTCCAGCCTTTGCAATGGTAGGCAGCTTGGTGTGGCTCAGTCCTATCACTTGCACATATATACTCAGGGTATACGTGATCTCCTAGCTACAGTTTGAGCGTCTATCTCACAGCCAGCATAACAGCATCCTCCACAACTGCACAGGAAACAGTGTTTTGTTTTTCCTTGTCTTAGTACTAGCATCTTCTTGAGACTAGAGATGAATTTGTCCTTCTTTTTCACACTCAGCAGGTAACGGAGATCCTAGTGTCTAATACAGCAAGGATACTATTCCTCTGAGCTCTGAAAGCTACTGCCTGACCATCTAGGTCAGTTTAACTCTATACCCATTCTTCCATGCTTCTCTATGTTTCTTTGTCTTCCAGGTGTTTTTGCTCAATAGATTTGGCTAAACTTGCATTGAGATTTCTCTTCTTTTTTTTTGACAAATGATGTGAAACTTGGACACGTCTTTTTGTGATTCAGACAAGATTTTAAAAGGCCAGTTAAATTTAGAGAAAGTTGGACTAAATCTCTCTGCAATTTTGTGCCCTTTGAAACATTCTCTTGCTTCTTCACTGTGGATGTTCTTAGTTGCTAAATTTTTGTATTTGAAATTCTGCCTTAGTTTCTGGAAACGTCTGCATTCATTCACTAGCAACTGAATTGCAGAGAAATTTATGCTGTCTGTAGCTTATTCAAATTCCTCTCTTATGAAAAAGTTTTTTTTAACTTTAATAACCAATAATGTAATGGAAAAAAAGAAAACCAACAACCCAAACCCATGCTCGAAGGTCCACAGTATTCTTTGAACACTTGTATTATGTTGCACTTTGTTATCTTGCATTTCTGGAAAATGAAGTAGAACCCAGAAACAGATTGATAAACCCATGCCTATGACTAAACCTGACTTTTTTTTTTCCTCTTCCTGTCTCAGATGTAAGATGGAAAAACAAATTCTGGGGAAAGTCCATGGAAATTGTTCCAGTTGGTACAACACACGTAACTCTTCCAGCGTAAGTGCTGCAGTCATGTATTGCTGTTCACACACAGGCATAGACATGCTTGCACACACTAGAGCCACATTTATCCATATGAGAATAAGCTGGGCTGTGCTGTATTAGACCTTTGGAAGAATTGGTGATTATGATTTAGTTTGAAAAGAAAAAAAAGGAGGGGCGGGGAAGAAAAAAACAAACACCAAAGCAACACTGGAAGCATAAAACAGAATCACTAACTCTTCCAAAGGTTTTAAAAAACAGAAGATGAAATAAAAAACATCACCACTGTGTGTCTTGAAAAAAAGCAACATTGGGATTTTCATACTTCAGCTGATTGCCATTTTAAACTCACAAGGAAAAACTGCATGGCAGAGGAAGCTATGAGTTCATTTGCTTGAATACAGGTTTTTGGGGAGAAGGTGGTGGTGTTCCTGTCTTTTGTACCTATATTTGTATGGACCCTAACACCATGGGATCGTGGTCTGTAGGTGAGACCAATAGCCATCCTTACTACATAAATAATGATTGTAAATTCTAAATAGAACCAGTTGCATATCTGGTGTTTGTTATCCAAGGAAGTAAGCAGCCACTGTGGTTAAGTGTTGAGTCTTGTTTAATTATTTTTTTAAATAAAAATTTGCGGTCTTCATATGCTGGCTTGTCAGAGTGCCCATTATAGATCAACAATTAAGATCCCGTAAAATATGGCCTATATCCATCATGTTTGCAGAAGCAGAGGTCTAAAGGTTGAGTAGTGTTCCAATTAAATCTGTTTTCCAAAGAGAGTCTACAAAATTAATTATTCTGCCATCTGACAAAAAAAAGAAAAAAGAAAAATAACTCAAAAACCTGGCACTCCTCTGACTGAGCAGCTAAGCACGCCTTTTTCTTTTAAGTGGGTAAAATTAAGATATAGTAAGATAGTATCCAAAAGATAATGTCTAAAATATATTGTATTCATAGCAGTTAGCCTAAGCTGTAGAGTGAAACATCTTTAAGATGCAAGTGAAGGTTCAGAGGCCAATAAACCACTAAATAAACCAATAAATTAGGGCCTGTTGTGGCGTGGGCTGATGAACTGAAAACTAATCTGATTCATATCTGGTCTCCATGTGCTGGTTTGTATCCCTGTGTATCTGATACAGAATTTGGTACAAACAAGGTACTGAGGCTGTAGGCAAAAATGAAGTATTAGTATTAAGGTTATTTTTGGAGCAAATACAGTATTTTTAACATGTGTGATAGAGCATGTAACCTACAGGTGGGGGCAGAAAAACAAGTTACCATGGGGTAAATTGGCCACATATCTGCTAGTCTGTAAAAACTCTTACAAAGCAGCAAGTGATTAAGGGGAGGTAATGAAAGATTCTGTTATCCTCATGGGATGTGTGAGAGGCAGTTGCTATGGGGAAATGGGTGCTTTGTAAGTTTACCCTTTACCTTACCCAGTAGCGACCTGGCTATCAATACCCAGAACAAATTGTAGAAGATATGTCTTCATGAGACTTTCCTTTTCTTGAGGTTTTATAAAGCTGTTTTACAAGAACATCTACTTCTTTAATAAAAAGTAAAGTGTTGTATTAGCTATTGGTATTTGTTCATCTCTCCCTGTCTGCTGTCTTCCAGTGTGCAACTGCATCTTGAACTACCTGGTGAGAACTTTTGCTCTTGCCTGAAGCACGCTCATAGGCTCAGCCTTCAGAGCTTGAGCCGAGCTCATTCTACTCAATACAGAGTCTTCTGATGACTCTGGTGACCCATGTCCTTGTGTTTTCAGTTGTCACAGTGTTACAAGCTGTGAAAATGGCCATTTCAACCAGTAGAAGATAGTAGAATGAGAGAAAACTGAATTCAAACCCAAAGTTTATAGCAGAAGTGAAAAGGGTTTTCTGGGAGACAGGGTTGTTGTCATGGGGTTTGTTGTTGAGGTGTGGAACAAGAAGCTGAGACATTCCAGAAAACATACTGGTTTGTGGGGATCAAGTTGGCTGCAATTTTATTTTTCACAAGTTTATGAGCTCGTTTGAACATAGCATGAGGCTTTTCTTGTATGTATTTTTTTACAGTTTTAAAGACCATTTTGCATGGAACAAGGTGACATCTTGCATCCATAACATCTTAAGCGGGCAAAGATGGATTGAACACTATGGAGAGATCATCATCAAAAATCTTAACGATGACACTTGCCACTGTAAACTGACCTTCATAAAGGTAACCACAGAAATGTTGCCGGTGCCTTTTCTAACAGACACAGCAGTGGATGAATACTCTCTGCTGAAGCTCAGTACAACTGTTTACAAGCTGTATTTTCCTGTAGTTCTGTTGTAATTACCTGTGAGTGTCTGAAGGAACTCCTGCTCACGAGGTAGAGCCAAACAAGAAGGAAAAGCAACGTCTTTCTCAGGTGATTCCACTTGAGATGCAGCAAAGTAAGGAAAGGAAAACAAGAAGTATGATGAAAAACCTACTCTGTGTTTGATGAGAGAGGTAGGCACAAGGTATCTACTGCCAGTTGTTTACCACATGCCTCCTGCTAACCCACGGGCATGTGCTGTGGTTGCATTCATTCAGCAACTGTAGAACCAGTGCTTTACCCAATTCTCTTTTCTGACTGCCCTTTGTAGGTACTCGGAGGAGCTTAAGTGAGAGGTGGTGGTGTTACTTAAAGCTTTTGCTTCAGTACAAGACATTAAGATATGACTTCCTCAGGAAATACCCTTATAAATGAAATTAAAATTCAGTCTTGGTAATAGCTGACTTCTTCCTAGTAAAGGAAAATCAATGAAAACTTAAAACGATGTCAGAATTTCTAACCTGAGAAACAGTTTTGCAAAGCATGCTAGACTTACCTTAATGTGTGTTTTCTGTATCTGATTGCTGGAGAAAGGTTGGGCTTTACATAGAAGCAGACCATAGAGATACAAGCTAAGTACTTCAGCATACCTATGCAGCATGGCATGCTCACCAGCAGAAGGAAAGTTTACTTTTCTTATTTGTTTTCCTGAATACTGGTGCTTTCTGAGAAGAATTCGGCTGATTTTATTTTCCAGATACTTATTTGAAAGTACTATTATGTATTTGCAGAGTTGCAGTGGATGTTTAGAGTTCAAATTTTAGATTGAGAGCCTGCAGATCTTACACCTTTGATATTGTAGACTGCCTAAAGTGGATGTTACTGTATGAGTTCGTTCTCTTTCTTTTCTGCGAATTTGGGGAATATGCAGATAACTGTTAGGAGTCAGTGCTACCTGTCATTGGGCAAAATTAAAGGTCAGCTATGCATCACCTCATACTGCCTCTAAAAAAGGCAAACAAAATAAATACAATACTCAACAATTAGTATTTTAATAAGCCAAGTAATAGTACTAACAGCAGTTGTTTGCATATAATATTGTAATACATACCTAAATCCACCGTTTTAATTTCTGAAAACCACTTTACACCATGGTGCTACTGACATGGCAAAATCACTTACACTTCATCTCTTATGCACCTTTTTTCCCCTTGTTCATTTTAATTCTAGGCAAAGTATTGGAATCCAAATGCACATGAGATTGAAGGCAGTGTCATGGATAAAGCCGGAAAAGTTGTGCATCGACTCTTTGGGAAGTGGCATGAGAGTTTATACTGTGGGACAACTTCATCTTCAAACTGCATCTGGAGAGCAAGTCAGTGATCAGAATGGTTAACATACACAACTTAATATTTGCTTGAGAATAAGCTTACTATTTCCATCTCTTTATTAGGCCCCAACTTCTTGTTATTTCTCTGTGGAATATTAGATTTTTGTCAAGTGTTTAAAATTTAGTGCAGAAGAGTACATAATTTAATTAATATGGAGAACTTAATCCCATGGCTTCATGCATTTTCTCCATTCACCCTCATTTTCATATTTGGGCATGAAGTGGATATTGAGGACTCTAAAAGGAAGGGAAAAAAAAATTTAAAAGGAATGAAAAGCATAGCTTTTTGTGTAGAGAAATGTGGTGACTTTCATGTATTGGCCATTGGAGGACAGCCTACAAAGCTCAGTTCTGTAATGACAGCCATATCGGAACTTCTCCCAGCCTTGTGGGATTTTGTCTACTGTAGTTTGAAAAAGAACTGTGATAATAGCATGGCCTTCACCACAGCTGTGCTCTGATTCAGCTGAGAGAACAGAAATCTGTTTTGATGCAGCGCAATTATCAAGAGGGATGTTCTTTTTTGTCATGTTATTGCAAACCTCTTATTCAGCCCAAATTGAGACCTTGGGTCAGAGATGAACAAATGATTGGGAGGAGCCTGGAATTTTCCTTCTCAAGATAATAGCATTTAACTGGAGTTCTGAATGTACCCTTTTCTTCTGTAGATCCGATGCCTAAGGATTATGAACAGTGGTACGGGTTTACTCAATTTGCCCTGGAGTTAAATGAACTGGACCTGCAAACGAGGTCATTACTCCCATCTACCGATACACGTTTTAGGCCAGACCAAAGGTAAGGAATCTTCCCTCTTAAATACGTTCTTCAAATAGTTTTTACTCTTCTGTATGCTCACTTTACTCTAAGCTCAGACTATTTTGTGTAGATACCTGCAGCATGTTTCCATTTCTACCTTAATATGCATCTGAAATAGACATTTTAACCACTTATCAAGAGATGGTCTAGTCATTATGGACCAGTGTTCCTAAAATTGGATAACTGCCTTTCCAAAGATGTTAAAACTTTGGTACTTCGGGTACTGGATGTTGAGCTTACTGTGTTTGAAAAAACTGAGACACTTGATATTTCTTACTGCACTGAAATTTCTGCTGTTGCTGACTTCCAAGGAAAAGAGTATAAAGTAACGATGACTCTGAGCTTGTTATGAGAAGTACTTTTCCTTAAGTGCTTTTTGATAATGCAGTTGTCTGCAGATGTAGCTGTTTACCTTCCAAACACTGTGAACTGCCTGCTGTAAAGATTAGATTCTGCTCTAGAGGACCTGGCAAAAATGGGAGGCAGAAGCACTAATCATGTCTCTTATCACTGCTGGTGTTACAGGTTTCTAGAAGAGGGGAATATTGAAGGAGCTGAAATGCAAAAGCAGAGAATCGAGCAGCTACAGAGAGAACGACGGAAGGTGCTGGAAGAAAACAACCTGGAGCATCAGCCTAGATTTTTCAGGTACTATGTGATAATTAGCATATACTATAATTTATTGAAATTCTTATTACAGATCTGGATCTAAACTGCCATAGAGCAGGCTCCTTTTTTTGTCCCAGATTTCTTACATATTCTTGATTTTTGTGATTTAGCAATTTAGAACACTCCAGTCTTGGTTAAAACTCAGGATTGTATATTGCTTTTTCATTAGTGCATTCCTGAATTTCTGTCTAAATCTTTTGCCTGGAAGGTGATTGATATTTAATTTATGTTTGAATTTGCCTCTGCGAATGTAGCATCTTTCATTCTTTCAAGCAAGATGACGTAGTTGGATTTAGCTTAATTATCTCTGCTGAACTTCTGCTGAACTCAGTGGGATTGCCTTGTGCGGAGGGATTGCAGTGTGCAGAGTTGGAGCCTTTCATTTCCAGAGCTATTTTTGACCATCTTTCCACTATTTGATGGAGATATTATCATTCAGGGGGCACTTGATTTCTTCCTGTTGTAACAAGAGACTTCAGCCATGGGAAGGCAAAAATGAATGCTAGTGAGGACATGGCCTTTGGCCTTCCAGCTTCTCTGTTCTCCTGCAGTGAAAGAGTTGGAGCTAAGGTGAATGCTGTACAGGCCTATGTATCACACTTAATAGATCTGGGATCCTAATTTTTGTTCAGGATAGATAGATACTGTACTTCTGAGGAACACAGAAACATTTAAAATAAGTGCGAAAAGGGAATGGCTCAGACTATTTAATCTGACAAGATGGTGAGCTAACTCACCGTATGTTAATCACACCAACTAAAGAGAAGAGAAGCAAATGTTGTTTCCAGCAGGCTAAAAAGACAAGTTAGAGGTGAAGTCTAATACTTCGTAATTGTATATTCACAATGACTGTGAATGCAGATGAGGATTTGAATTCTCACAAAGAAGATTTCAACATTGAGATTTGTGCTGTAGATTTAAATTATAGGATAAAGAAATTAATTACTGTATTGCAAAAATGTTACCCAGTATTAGAGTAGATATGAATTATGCATTTAGCTTTTCAATAGTGATTTCTCTCTTCAGCAAATCACAAGCCTTGATTTCCCTAAAAGAATAATTTGCTGTTGTGCCAAAAATGTTGTACATTACATTAAAAGCAGACTAATTCCTTCAGGGAATTAGTAACTAGATAACTAGACACTTCAGGGAAGTATCTAGTGCAGTCTCCCCTCTTCACTGAGAGCTCTAGGCTCTCTTTATGCAGTAACTGTGGTGAACCGTCTCTGGAGACGCAAAAGGAAAGTTTCCACTTTCCACCCAGAGGTGCCTTGGAGACCATGAAATAAACCTGGACTGTAGTTTTAAGTTCTAAGCAGTGACAGTGAAATTGATCTCAGCTGCACACTAGGTTACTGAGGTGCATCTCAGGCCCGGTGCCACAGCATCTCAACGCTCCAAGATAGATTGCCTTGTTTGAAGGCTGCACCTGGTTCATGGGCTGGATTTGGTATCATTGCATAGTGCTACGTTGTATTATACAGCATGTTTATGGAAAATACAAGCTTTACATTTAAGACTTTTTAAAATCTTTGCTAGGAAATCCAATGATGATTCCTGGGTGAGCAATGGAACCTACATGGACCTTAGAAAAGAACCTGGTTTTTCCAAACTGGACAATCCTGTCCTGTGGTGAAAGAGGAGCTACGTGAAGATGTTCTGTGCTGTATTCTTGGATCTGATTTAAAAGAAGTATATATAAAATATATCTACATATTTACACCTATATATATATATATATATATGTACACACACACATATAATATATGTGTGGAGTGTGTGTATGTGTGCAAGTGTGCATATCTCCACAATTGTGTTTAATTTAGAATCTGATAATTCATTTGTTTCCTTTAACTATTGCAGTGATTGTTTGAATGTATAAATACCCTAACTTCTTTTTATAAACTATTTAATAAATAGTACTGAATGTTAACAAGAGAGAAAAGAGGAGCTTTTACACTACTTTTCCAATGTGTAATAATGTCAGTTCTGAGTTAACTTATGCCTTATTGAATTGCTTTGGAGACAGTAGCATCAGCACCTCCTAGCTGTGCTGAGAAATCAGAGTGCAAGCCTTAGTAACTTTAAGTAGGCTTCCACAGTTCAGTGAGTAGTTCAGCTGTCTCTGGGCTGGTGTAGATTGGTAAAAAAGATTATCAGCTGGTGCTGGAATCTGAGTGTGATCTTCTGCTGCCCGTAGAAGAGATTTAAATAAGCTTTTGTTTCTATTAGCTTTCTTCTTCGCATTATGGAAAAGGTAGTCCTGAGCTTACATCCGCGGTTCTGCTGCCTTATGCATAAACTGTACCTGGCTAAATGTACTGCTAGAAATTCAGGAATCGCCAAAATTTTCCACTGGGAAAAATTTCCACTGCAGATTTATAGCCCCTAACAGGGCAAGACGAGGAGATCCTTTTGTATATACTGCTTGAGCACTGATTAGATGAAGAAGGTCTTTCTTTTCCCAGTAAGTAAAATCTCTACAGAGCACGAAATCCTGTGCTTCCATAGCTTCATTAGTTTTTATTAACCTAAAAATTGCAACAGTAAGACTTTTTAAAAAGTAAGCAAAACTGATTAAGCTAGAAATTTTTTCTTAGTATTTTGATATTTTCTACCTCTTAAGAAATAAACAGTATATTGAAGATCTTATATATAAAAAATGACCATCTGCCTTATGGAGAAGCACGTTTGTTTGTTATGTTCAGATAAATATTCAAGTGTCTTGCACTAAATCAATTGTATCTCTTTCCTGTAACTTTATACATGTGGCTAGATTTGTGAAACTACTAAACCACAGGTCAGAAATTTAGCAGAAAACAAATGTAGCAGAAATTGCACTTTTAAATGAAGACATGGGCAGTATTTTTGGGTTTTTTCCATCAGCTCATAATGCCACAGTCATTAACAGAATAATTTGCATTCCCACCTGTCTGCAACTCAAGCCTGACCCATGGTGGTTCTTCAGGTCTGTTCTGTGTCAGTGACTCTCTGGCAACAATGCAGGTGCCAACTTACGGATCTATATCCTGTCACCACCATCCCTCCTTTTTCTCACATTCCACTTAAATGGCACAAAACAAACCCAAATGTTGCGGGCATGTTAAACTGGCTTATGACTGTAACAATTGGACATGGCATGGATAAGGGAGACTCCTAGGGGGAATAGTAGCTTAGAAAAACTTGCACTTTACCGTGTGCTGCATTGTTCTAAAGACAACCCATTTAAAAGGGATCCATGTATTATATGTAACATGAACGAAATCCTATGAACACTTCCATTTTAAACCAAATATGTGATGTCAGATGAGATGTATATTTGAATTTTGTTTTCTGTTACCTTGAAGCCCCATTATCTTAGAAGCAGATATATGCTCTGTCACTATTTTTCTTTTTGCCTGGGCACTCTGCCTCATTATAATTTATTTCCAAATTTATTACCAAAGAAGTTAGCATAGTTCTTTCTATGTAATATGTTTTTTAAAAGCTTGACTACCACGCCAGCAGCTTACAACAAGGTAAGGTTCATGTCAATATGAAGACAAAATCCAGGTTTTGATTCCAAAGGAAATCTTAACCTTTAGGGGCTGTTTCAAAAAATGGCTTTTCAAAAAAAGCGAGGATCTCTTCATGGTTTGTTCCCTTCCTGTGTTTTATCCTGGTATGAACTGTCAATGAGTTGATACTTGTAATTATCTTTGCTGTTGGTAATTACCTTTTATACTAAAAATAACATTTATTTAACAACAAAAGAGAGTAGGGGAAATTAAGAAAAGCTTTTGAGAAAGGAAGCAAAATCTCTGGATGATGCATTAAGTTTGCTTGTGATCATATTCAGCAGCTACTGTGATTACTGTCTGATCTGATTTCTGGGTTTTATTTTCTATGTGTGGAGGGGATTTCCCCTTACTTTGTCATATGACCTCCTAGTTGATAGTATCTGAAATGAAAGGATTAGAGGCAAAAAGGCAATGTTAAACAATTGTAATGTATTAAATCAGCAAGTGGTAAATGAAACTAATCTCATATTGGGTGTTTGAGTTCTGATTTTTGAGAAATCAGGCTGGCAGTGTTGCTTTGTATCTTACAATCTAAAATGTCTAAATTACATTTGATTAATGATAAGAAGCATTAGGCTGAGTAGTGCCTTATATAAAATTTCTTTCAACAAAATTCCCATATCAAGAAGGTAAACTTCAGAATTTTTACTACCACCTCCCAAACAATAATGCCTGAGAATAATCCAGAGCAATTTCTTAAATATGTGAAGCAAAATCATTGCACAAGTAATAGCTTCTTTTGTAAATCTCTGATACGCATCTGCAAACACGATGTAACCAGGTGTGGATGATCCTCTGAACCCTTGTCTCCAACTGTATTATAGTTGTCCCTGCTTACTTTTGTATGAAACAATTGGGTTTAGTTGTTAAACTTCGGTCAACTGTATATTAAGAAGCAGAAGAAAATTGTCTTGATGTTACTTCTGTGTATTTCTGCATAACAATGTATTCATCGTTCACAAACTTTAATATACTCAATACAGGTATTCTTGGTAAAATATGAAATTCTGGTAATTTTCTTCCCCAAAATTTCAGATGTGTTAATGGGTGCAAAACTTACATTAGCTTTCTGCAATATAACTAAGATAGCTGTTGTTTTTAATAACTGACATTGAGGGGCATTTTTTTTTCATCCATTTCTACCCTGAAGGGTAACAAGAACATATCAGGCAACTTACTGCTTCCTTTCATGCACAGCAGTGATCCCCAACCTGTTTAGCTCAATGGATTAGTCTTAAAATTTCCTGATGACCAATGCCTGCTGTTATAACTCTTATTTGATGACTTTATAAGCATAACTTAGTATGATTTTGAAGGACAGTTTGGGAAGCACTCATCTAGCACTGCCTTACTTTGCGTGCCCTTTCACAAAATAAAAAACTCGCTATAAGTCTACATCATGACAATGGAGCAGCTCAGGCCTTTAGGTGTTAAAACACTGACTCAGTTTTCCAATTACACAGCAAAGAAAGAAAAAAAAATCCATGGAAATTGTGTTAATAGAAACAGAAACCCACAGCTCTACTTCCAGATTTGCAGACTTGACAGTTTTTATTTTAACACTGTGTAAGTTTGGGGTTATGAAACAGTGTAACTTGTTTAGGAGGCTACTCTTGGTAGCGTAAAGTGCCCTTTAGACTGGGTGGAACTGAAGCGCCGCACTGATCATTGCTTTCCTTTCTGAATCGCTGCTCTCCAAGATAAGCTTTATGTGCTAGTTTGCCAGCACTGAGCTACTTCTTCTAGATGCTTTTTGAAATACAGATCCAGCAAAGTACTCAGGTTCTTCATACAGCGCTCAGAAAATTAGACGCATAGAAGGAAGGAAGAGCGAAAATAGCCAAAATTTTCATCAGGAAACATCCTAGAGATCTGTTTTTTCAACAAGTTTTCTCTGAAGGACTGGAAGCAGGATTGTTGCTTTCTTTTAAAGCCTGGCCCTTGAAGGAGGTGGTGCTTGCAAACACAGTCACGTTATTATTTAGCAGTGTAGTGCTGAAGCCAGATGACTGTACAAAAAGGAACACAAATTAATGGGCCCAGAATGTACAACCAGGGACAGCTTTGGAGTCACACAAAGGTCCAGTGTCGGTCTAGAAAAAAAATACCCAAGCCACGAAAACAACCTCACAAAGACCTCACTCCTTCCCATGCCCCCTACTTTCCCTCAGCTGTTGACAGTCCTGTTTAGGTTTTCTATGTGCCCCCTCATGTCTAAAAGTCTTAATATATTCAGTGTCCCATTTTTCTCTGTGTTAAAAATTCTGAAGAATAGGAAAGCAGTCCATTCTAACAAGCTTTTAAATGACAAATCATGCCTAAAAGGTGGAGTTAAAAACTTTCCCCATAAACATTGTGGCCTACTTCCTTGACTTCCTTGACTGTGACCAAAACTTTCTTCTCACTTGGACTCTGGAGTCAGACCTGGTTAGAGTAGTGTGCTACACAAATGTGCAGCTATATTTGCTCAACATACTCCTAATTAAGGTCCTTGCATCTGCTTTTGTGTAAATCTCTTCTGTTGTCTCTGACCACCTTTCCAGTGCTGGAAAGTTTCAGCGTATCGTACTTTGTTCACCTTTTTTTGTGCACAACTCACACAGAGGGGGCAAGCTGAAGAGGAGTGCAAAACTTGGCCCACGGTGCATAGATTATAGAGAGAAGGATGAAATCCAACTTTTCCATGTAACTGACTACAACTTGCAAGGGCTACAGTCAGATGGTGCTTTTCGAAGGAATGAAGTTAAAATTAAAGGGGTTTTCATTCATGGATTATGCCTACTATGAATAAAATTCACAGTATTCACTAACTCCTCCTTCCTGTTTTCTCACTACTGGTGAGTGCAGCTTACTCAAGTGGCTATTGGTTCATAAGAAACTGCACGTTATCTGGCTTGTCTGTTGAAACTTAGTAAATGCTGTAACTGATCACCAAATGTGTTACTGTACTGCTCAGCTCTTGGATACTGTTCTTGCTGCAGCTTTGAAAGCAATAAGAGAAATTTTCCACATAAATAGTTACCGTATGTTAAAAAATTACTTTAAGCTGTTCCTTTTTTATATAAATTGTGGATTT